GGGATATTGAGATTCAGTACAGCTGGGTGAAGAGGAGTGCCAACTCATTTGCGGATGGGTTGGCCAAGCAAGGAGTGAATAGGGAGGCTGTTTTTTGGGCTAGTTTTTAATTTTCTTTGCATTCCCTATGTTTTCTGTTTTTGGGGAGCTAAGTTATTTTATCTCCCATTGTATTCTTTTCCCTCTCTTCTCTTAATTTAATGAAGTTGATGTTATTGATCAAAAAAAAAAAAAACAAAGACAAAACAAATCGTGGGAATCAATCCAAATCTAGATGATCTGATTGATCCACAACATGTGCAAATGCCGAATCACCAGTCACCACAAGCCCCTCACCAATTGCTGGTCTGAATTCTCATCAGTATGCCCAACTTCTTGCTCTGCTTAGCAAAGAATCGAACACATCCCCTGCTACAGCCAATGTATCTGGTAAGCCGTCTGGCTCACACCTTGATTGGATTATTGATAGTGGAGCATCTAATCATATGATCTCCACTTAGAATGCTTACAGTAGCTCTTGTTCATTGGAAACCACTAAGCCAATTTACTTGCCAAATGGAACCATCACTTATGCAACTCAGTAAGGGACTGTGGTTCTTGGTCCTAAACTTCATATTCACAATGTGTTATATACACCTTCCTTTCATTGCAACCTTATTTCAATTAAAAGACTAACAGAACAGCTCCAATGCACTGTTATTTTCTTTCCTTCCTTCTGTGTAATTCAGGACCCAACCTCATGGACAATGATTGGGATGGGTCGGCTTGAGGGAAGTCTCTACCATCTGAATTATTCTGTTACTACATTCATTGTTGCATCTACCATCAATTCAGAAACATGGCATAGGTGGCTTGGCCATGCGTCTAATAAGAGTTTAGCACTCATTCCTGGTGTCTCAACTACTGTTGGCTCCTATTGTGATGCTTGTCACTAGGCAAAGCAAACCAGAATTCCCTTTCCCATCAGCACTACTCGTGCTCAATTTCCCTTTCAACTAATACACTGTGACATTTGGGGAGGTTATCATACACCTTCACACATAGGAGCTCACTATTTTCTTACAATTGTTGATGCTCATACAAGATGTACATGGGTGTATTTGCTAAAATTCAAATCTGAAGCAGTTTCTTCTTTGTTATCATTCTTTGCCATGGTTTCTCGTCAATATGGTTGCTATATTCAGCAAATACGATCTGATAATGGTTCTGAATTTATTTGTGGACCACTCCAAGAATACTTCAACACTCAAGGGATCATTCATCAACGATCTTGCATTGATACTCCCCAACAAAATGGCGTGGCTGAGCGAAAATATAGCCATTTGTTAGAAGTTGCTCGAGCACTCAGATTTCAAGCCTCTCTTCCAGTTGCATTTTGGGGTGAATGCCTCCTCTCAGCAAATTACATCATCAATAGGCTTCCCACAGTAGTTCTCCATGGGAAAACCCCTCTCGAGGTACTATCCAAGACCCCACCATCATACAGTCATATGAGAATATTTGGATGTTTGTTATGTCCAAATTCGACCTTAGCTACGTGACAAATTTGCAAGTCGAGCTATCAAATGCATATTTGTTGGGTACCCTCATGGACAAAAAGGTTATAGGGTATTTGATTTAGCCACCAGGGTTGTGTTTACTTCAAGGGATGTCATCTTCTATGAGGATCAATTCCCATATCAAAATATTCCTGACATCACTTCAGCCCCAGCTGTACCTATTCCAGCACTAGATACCACTGTTGAACCCACAAACAATGCATCCACTGCTGTTGAAACCATTCCCTAGACAGTTTCTCACAGTTCAGTCCCTGTAAATCCGTCCCTACCTCGACCACACCGCATTAGACAACAACCAGCTGCTCTCCGAGATTATGAATGCCAACTTCCACCTTCCTTGGCCAACCCGGCCTCTACCACCTTACCTGTGGAACCCACTTCTTACCATCAAGCTGCTCTTGATCCTAAATGGCAACAAGCCATGAATGAAGAAATTGAAGCCTTAGAACGGAACAACACATGGTCTTTAGTGCCACTGCCCCTGGCAAAAGGGCCATAGGGTCCAAATGGGTATACAAGATCAAACTTAAAGTTGATGGAACCATAGAACGCTACAAGGCCATATTAGTAGCCAAAGGATAGAACCAAGTCGAAGGGCAAGACTATCATGATACCTTTGCTCCAGTAGCAAAACTAGTAACAATGCATTGTTTACTTTTTGTGGTTGTTGCTAAAGGTTGGGAGTTACACCAACTTGATGTACATAACGCATTTCTTCATGGGGATCTTCGTAAGGAGGTTTACATGCAAATACCTCAAGGCTTTGCAAAAGATGGTGATTCACGAGTATGTCGACTACACAAATCATTATATGGCTCTCAGATGTAGTTCGAGAAGTTCAGCCAGTCACTCACATCTATTGGATTCATCCAATCTACAGCGGATTACTCTCTATTCACTTGCAACACAGGCTCTTCCCTTGTGGTTTTTCTTGTCTATGTTGATGACCTAATCACCACCGGAAATAATCGAGTCAAAATATCTTCTCTTAAACAATATCTCAATGACCGCTTTCGTATTAAGGACCTTGGACCTTTATCATATTTCTTGGGCATTGAGGTGATCAGAACTAACTCCGGAATATTTCTCAGTCAACACGAACATGCTCTTGATATCATCAATGAGACAAACATGTTGGACCGCAAGCCTTGCCTCTCCCCAATGGAGCAACAAAATCACCTTATTGATGAGTCCAACCCACTTTATTCTGATCCAACTCGATATAAGCGGCTTATGGGACGGCTGGTCTACTTAACTGTCACTAGACCTGATTTGTAATTTGTTGTTCATTGTCTCAGCCAGTTCATGCAATCTCCACGTCAAGAACACTTTGAAGCTGCCCTATGGGTTGTTCATTACTTCGAGGGTACTCCTCATTATGGCATACTCCTTCCAGCCCAAAATGATTTCACACTCAAAGGCTTTTGTGACTCAAATTGGGCTAGCTGCCCACTGACAAGAAGATCTACTTCTGGGTATATCACCTTGTTGGGAAATTCTCCATTGTCATGGAAGACAAAGAAACAACTAACAATTTCTCGATCATCTATCGAAGCTGAATATCGAGCGATGGCCACCACCACTTCTGAATTACTGTGGCTTCAACGAGTTTTTTTTTACCTCTCAGTTCAGCTTTCCTCTCCCATGCAGCTATTGTGACAGCAAGGCTGCCCTACACATTGCAGCCAATCCTGTCTTTCATGAGAGAACTAAGTATGTCGACATTGATAAAGGGAACATATTCAACGTCGGCACATTACCACGTTCCACATTTCCACTCATTTACAGCCCACCAACATACTCACCAAGGCATTGAGTGTCGCAAATTTTCAACAGCTATGATCTAAGTTGGGCATCGTTTCCGCTGCTCCAACTTGACGGGGGTGATAGTCTAGAACATTCAATTCCAAACAGCTGTAACAAATTCAAAAATTCTAGTCTTCCAGCTGGCAGCACATAGCCACATGTCTAATTTAGTTTCTCATTGTATCTATAAATGTCAAGCATTCCTAAATGGAAATACACTTTTCTCTTCTGCCTTTTTCAGTTGTTCCTTTGGCTGCGTTTGTTTGCAATGCAAACACAAATATGTACACTACATATTTACTCATTTTTTGGTTCATGAATACAAACACGGTTCACATTTTAAACCGTTTATGCATTCATCTTGTTTGTTTTAAATTGGTGCAAAATGTGGGCCCATCATTAAATGCTCCAACTATCTTATGCTCCAATGCCTTAACTTTGGTCAAAAAATTAAGCACAAAACTGTATCCAAAAAATAGGTACAGTAATGCTGCGTACAAAAGTGTCAGAAAATACATTTTTGCTCTGATAACCATTACTTTATCAAACAAACTCTCGCAAACACAAACCGGAGTACATAAATACCCCAGTTCAGCGTTTGTATCGCAAACAAACGGAGCCTTTTATAGTAGGCCAATTGCTAATTTCCAACTAAAGTATAGGTGCGTTTTACATCAAAGAATAACTTCATTCTTGCAAACCAATATATACAGTGATCGATATCTTCTAACCTGAGGAGGAACCAGAAAATAGTTGCTGTAGTTGAGTGGAATCTGACAAATCCAAAGATTGGTTCACCATGACTTCCCTCTCTATTGCTTGTATATGGTCTTTCAAGACATGAGGTGATAAAGGCTTCTTATTGAGAACTTGGTCCTGTGGCACAGTGCAAAAGTATTAAGCATCCCCTCTAGAAACACAAAACCCCAACAGCAATCAGTTAAAGGATTAGTAGATACAGAAAACAAGTTTCAGTCCTGGAATACTATATAAAAAGGCATAAAGAGAGGGAGTCTGGTCCAAAAGCCATTACGAAGCTATAACCGACTGTTAGTTAGGGTAATAGAGAAACAATTTGGAACTAAAACTGAAACGTATAAATAAGGGGATTCTATATGAAACCTTAGATGCATATGTCTTGGCTTCTGACAAGGCTCTCCTTAAAGGTATTGATGCTGCATTTAGATAACCTCCTGAAATGTGAAAATACGCTTCTGTTACTCAGTCAAGTGCGAGGACGAACCGGTGCATCTTGGTTTGCAGGCAAGTAAGGGGAGAGAGAGAGAGAGAGAGACAAACCCGCCACCCCAAGTTGGAGGAGACGCGGCTCAAGTGCGAGGACGAAACGCTGTGTCCTGGTTTGAAGATTGGCTATCTCGATCACGTCTTTGGCAATCTCGTTGACCCCTGTAGTGCTCAGGCAATGGTATAGGAATTGCTTCTCCTCGTCCTGCTTCACCTGGATTTGCACCATCCTTGTCTTGTTTTGCTTACCAGTAAAGACGAAGTCTTTGTTACATTTTTCAACACAAACAATCTGGGCCTCGCTCTAAATTTTCAGTCTTCTGGACGAAATGCCTAACATCCACGTGGACATGGAGAAATAAGTTGGAACATCACGACCATTTATCAAGCAGACGGCCCTTTGCATCAATCGACCACCTAGAGCCAGAAAGGAAATCGTCTAGTTACAGTTTTCCTTTTCCACTCATGAGGTGGGGAATCCAGCATCCAGATGAAGGGAACGTCCTTCTCGTTGTGGTGACCTGTAATAGTTAATGAGAGATCGTATATTTGATTATTGAAACCAAACAGACAGTAGTCCACACTTGGAGTCTTCTGATCTTCTCTGGACTCACTCGTCTGAGTTCAGATCTGCGCCCCTCAATGTCTCACAGCACATACCCGCCGTGTATTGAGAACATCTCCCGATGATGGTGATGTTCCTAATATATGGCGGGGATGTGTTGGCGCAGATGTGAACTCCGCTCGTCTCTTATTGAACCTCCCACGTAGTCCATTCGTATTGGCAGACCAAGATTAAACTGGTCCAAATTTCAAAGCCGCACAGTTCTTGTAAATGGATTAAACTTACAAGTGTCCTCAATCAATCCTAGCCTAGCACATTGTTACTTGTTAGGCAACCCATCAAATAAATAAATGACATGCCAAAGCTTCTTGGGATGGGTAATTAATTGCACGCACTCCTTGGCTTATTGGGGTGGGGGAAATAGGAATAGGTCCTCCAAACTCCAGAGAAGAGGAGTCTAGTAATTATCTAGGACTATGAGTTTGCATCTGCTACGAGCCTACGACCACCGGCCATTCGATATTTTGAAAACTGAACAAAATGTTGTCTGTTGACTCGCATGCCCTCTGATTGGCTGTATATATACAGTTTAAAAATTATAGCCGTCCTCTTTAACTCTTTAAGTTTAAACCGTCCAAAAATACATTATAAATACTAAAACTAAAAAAAACAAAAACAAAAAAGGAAAAAGGAAAAATTAGTAGACAGAAATATTTTGATTTTTGACTGAAATATTCCACATAAACCGTTTATGTGGATGCTTGAATAATTCAACGCCCTATCCAGTTTCTAAGGGTAAGAAAGAAAGAAAGGAAAAAAAAACAAGGGCAAATATTTTATGCTTAGTTCATTTCATAAATAAAGATGATAATTATCTCTCCAGAATCAGTACTTCATCAGATCAACTTAACATTGTATATGCATATGACCGCAACAGAGTAAGCTAAAGTCTACACTCTACAGCATGTAGAGGCAACTAAAACAAATGAACAAAAAAAGATTAAAAAGAAAAAACCAATGCATCTTCAGTTCATCCTAACAAGTCCAAATGAATTGCAGGTGCCCTTAACATGTTTCAGTTTAAAATTGCTCTTTGTTCCACAATTTCCATGTCAATTGATCACCATATTCAAATTCAATAAGATGCTCTTTCTACTGTTCGTTTCACCTAGTTAGGATTGAGTTGTATTCAGAACCAAGCCTTTCAAGTCTGTCATTAGTCCCTCCAGAAACTCCCTTTTACTTGGAATTCTATCAGAAGAACAGTCTTGTTCCTACAAAAGAATGAAGAAAAAGGATTTACCAAAATTTGACAAACAATAGCTAAAAGGTTAACGATAATAAAAAGAGAAGGATAAACGATGCAAACTTCATTTATCACGTCCATAATCAACTGCTACTTGGTATAGACCAATCATACATCATAGTCCATGTATTTTTTTTTTTTTTTGATAAGCAGATTATAGTTCATGTATAAGAACATAGAGAACACCTACCTGACCACAGAGTTTAGAAAAATAATTCAGCAGATAGCGTCCCTATCGTACCACTCACTTTCCAAGTCAGAAAAATAATATTTGCAGGGTTCTACATTTCCAGCAAATATCATGGAAAAAATCAGGAGTCTCTCTTCCCAAGTCACATTTCTTTGACCCAGAATACAGGTGAATCAATGACTGGCATTCTAGAACTACAGTAACATCAAACAAGTAGAGGTAATATTTGAATTGTTATCAGAAGGCTCAGTTCGGAAGGAGTACAAATGCAAATTTGTAGAGTGTAAAACCTTGTATTTTGTTTTATTTTGTATGTATTTGCACTCTACAAATTTGCATTTGCACTCCTTCCAAACTGAGCATTAAGTAACAGAAGTTCTTCAAGGCTCAATTTGGAAATCGTGCAAATACATACAAAATACAAGGTTTTGCACTCTACATATTTGTATTTGTACTCTTTCCAAACTGAGCCTCAGGAACATTAACATAGAAGTACCAACTGAAAGGAAAAAGAAACAAACATAAAGATTTCAAAAATAAAAAACACATTGAACTAAATTATTATTAGTAACTAAGGCACATGGAGTCCAGAACAAATTTAGTAGTTTTTCTTTTTGGATCAGTACTCACGTCATCAGTTGCAGCTGCTAGTAGAGACAAAAGGGTTACTGTAGCAGTCTGGTAATCAACTAAGATCTTATACGCCGAGCTTTCCAATTTTTCCTGGCATATTCATATACATTTCTAAGAAAACTAGAAACAGAAACATCATAAAGAAGGAAGATGATAAAAAATATATATTTCTTATTTGATGACTAAAAACATGGTAGAAGTAGTAAGAAATGATTTAAGTGCCAATAATTTAACAATGGATATGGCATGAGATAGAATGGAATGGTGAAACAAGATTTATGTAGCTGACCCATGTAGTTGGGATAAGACTTGGATGATGATGACAATGACGACTAATTAACCAACTAGATAAGAACCAACAATATTAAATAAAAGGCACTGTAATGTACCAGGGCAGCAATCTTCTGCAGGGATGTCAGTAGGTCAGGTTAAGTGTAAACCTGCCTTGACCCGACCCCATAGGATTGAGCTCGAATCAATCTTGATTGGGTTTCAGGTTGGGCTTGGATTGAGGCTGACCTGCACTGAGCCAGATACATTGACATAACTTCTGCTAAGAATAGCCGTTCTGTTCCTTGGACAGGTCAGGTTGGGTTTGACTTTGGGTCAAAGGTCTGGCTTGAGCCAAACCTGACCCATTGACATTTTCTTGTGGACAATTTTGGCAAGAGAGGAATGCAAAAAAATTTCAAGACAGAAGGTTAATCCAAGGAGTTAATGACAGAAAACACCCTGGTGAGAATGGTGTATTGGGTAAAATCATTGCTCGACTTTATCTCGATGACAACATTAGAGAATGGCAGATTGTCACTTGTTCTTTCATTGGCTAGAGTACCTACAACCATACTTTCATTACCACTCATGACTTCATCTGCAATCCTGGGAGTTCAATAGGGGGAGTTGTTCAAGAATTGTTATGGTGCAAACTTGGCACTATCCTCTAGACCCAATAGGACATAGTGGCTCTACACAGGATGAATTACTAGCTGTATTGCAAGGGCTGAGGCAGGGTAAATCCCTAAATTATGGAAATGTAGTAATGGAGGGGACTCAAATGTGGTGGTGGGCTTGTTTAAGCACAACATGATAGATGCTTGGAAATACGAGCATATTATATGAGAGAGGCCAAAAAACTGGATAGGGACTCCCCTAAATGGATGAAGTGTTTGTGTCAAACACATATTGGAATTTGATACTCCATGGATTCTTGAATACTTCTATATGGCATTTTTCTTTTCCTCCTTGATTATTCAATGTAAATTAACAGTTAATGTATACAATGAATGACATTTTTCAATGATATGTCACTAAAAAAATCTTTTAGACTTTCATGTTTATGATGCTAAAATACAAAAAAGTATGGACTATTCTATTAGCTTATACTTTTCTACAGATGTGTCTCTTGGTCCCTGTTTCTTCTTCTTGTCAAGTCAGACTCCAACACATCTCATTCTGATTCCTTGTGTCCATGTAAACTTCTTTCTGCTAAACACAGAGAGCTGCCAATAGCATCACTGATGCCTTGGCAAGACAAGGGATAAATAGAGACTAACTTTTGGCAATGGTCCTCCAGGCTAACTTATTGTAGCATAATGATTGAAGTAGAGTAAGGTAACAAGAGCTACCCTACCAAATGGGGGTGCTTGACACATTTACTTCCCTGTATATCATTCTCTCAAAATAAATCAATAAAATTCACAACTTTTACCGATCAAAAATAAATAAATAAAAGGTACTGGATCCCCCAAAATGCATAGATGTTTGCTCTATGTTAAAATATGTTGAAGTCACTCAGTAACTGGTAATTGAAACTCGTATATTTTACCAAAAAAAAAACAAAAGAAATTTGTATCTACTTATTTGCTTTTATGATGCATGGACTAGAGTAAAATGCCTTCAACAATCCGATGTGAGAATTCTGAATTAATAAGCAGAAAATGGTTTTGAAAAGTCATAATACATGGGGCAGATTCAGGAATCTGTTTCTATTTTTCAATTTTTGGAAGGAGTAGCATTAATTATAAGCTTAAAGGTTACCCAACAACTACTAAATTCCAAACAAACAAATGATAACCCATGGTAACTCTTTGAAGAATAGCCTCCCAATAGAGCTTGGCTGTATACTCCTGATGTTGATCTAGCAAGGCTACTTGGTAAAGAGTGTAGCTGAATGAGGTGTTCTACCTTGTTTTTTTTTTTTATTTCTTAAGGTTCTAGGCCCAAACATAGACATATTTCCTCAGTCACAGCATTTGTTGAATCTCAAACAGATATTCTGTTTTGATTTATCTCCAATGGTATAAATAATGTGTTTTAGCATCTTTCTCAGAGAACTATTGGCTTGAATATTCTTAATTTCTATCATTAATTTATCAAAAAGAAGGGAAGGCAAAAGAAAAGAATAAACATATATGGAAGTTGGGAACATCCAATTAGAAACATATAGGCTCATATTCATGACAAAGAAAAAGGATAGGAGATTAGTTGTTGTTACCCGCCAAGTGCATTTATTTCCCTTGTAAAAATATTCAAGCTACAATTCATGAATCCTGATGAAAAAAGTGTATAGATGCACGATATTTTCCTACAATACATGTAAGAAGCAATACAAAATGCATACCCTCAACCGAGAAACCGCAGCAGAAATGGCCCTTCCAGGGGCTTGGAGAGCTTTATTGTGCACCTAGGAAAAACATGAAAAGAAAGAAAGATTGAAAAAAAAAAAAGAAAAGATCCCTTCATATGAGGCAGCATTAATTAATAGAAATGCAAAAGAATAGCAATATGAACACACTAACCTGAAAATAGAGTAGAGAAACAACCTTTGGCAGAAGAGCAACTGGATCAGTTTCAGCAGAAACTTGAGACATCAGATCCTGACAGTCACAGAAACAAGGCTTAAATGATGATGATGATATAGATACATACAGGTATTCCTTTAATCATCCAATTTCCAGACACTTCCCAGAATCCAAGAGAAGGCATACCTTACGATATGAATGCAAGAGTGTCCTCTCCAATTTCTTATCGAGTTTCTTTAAGAGAATTCCACTGCAAAAAAGTAAAAGTGTCAAACTTATATCAGGTTCTAGACAAAGATATGACAGAGACGGGGATAATAATGAGCATCATTACCTTTCCTCTGCAAGTGTTCTGAGCATAGTCATGAATGTATCCACTCGCTGTCACATAAGGTTTACATTTATTCAAGTTATGTAAAGTAGAGAAGTATGAAATTATATATATATATGTATGTATGTATGTATGTATGTGAGAAGTATGAAACTATATATAAATAGAAAGAAACACAAAAGAAAAGATTTAAATTGTTGCAAATAATTACTGTGATAAGAACTTGTCAGGAAACACATATATAGAGCCGTTTAAATTATCAAAGTATTCTAGGTCCTTACAAGTGAAAGCTAGACTGCTTCTTACATAGAAACAAAGTATATAAGCATCGGTTACTTATAGGAATCATAGGGAAAGAACATTTAGTGGGACTCTACAGTAAGCCACAACTTAATATCATAAAAACTTCAATGAGGGATGAATTACGTCATTTTCTGCATGTTCACTTACCTTTCCTTCTAAAGCCTCGATTACAGCAAGAGCCTTAACTGAAAGAGATCCATCTAAGCTCTTTGCCTGCATTTAAAAAATGAAATAAATGAAGGTGAAACAATCATAGCAGCATTTCACTCTTAACCATGAGTATCACAAGTTCACATGAGAAACTGATTTTCATACAAGGGGTATTCTTTCACCCGATCCCAGTGAAGCAGACTCTGGATTTTGAGATTCATCAATTTCAATTCCACTCTTCAGTTTGTTGTGCATGCCCTACATGGCATGGGATTGGTTATATTCTTAATCAATCAAATTTTAGAGTCAATATAATTCTAACACATATAAATTAAGACCTCTGAATATAAACATTACCAAGTTAAGTAAAAGCATGTCAACCATTGGAGTAGCAGTTGTTCTCAGCAGATGCCTGTGTAAAATAACCTGTGAAAGAGAAGTCAACATCTACTTTAAAAGCAGACTACTCAAATATGTATATGAATGGAGGACTTCCTTTTCTAAAGAGAAGAAAGCCATTAGTGGGAGAAGAGGCTTCAGAAAACCATCTGTCATAACCTGAATGGAGGACTTACTGAGGTTGATGGATCATCTTCAAACAATTCCAAAGCTTTTTCATATAATTGCATATTTAAGAAGGCCTAAAAAGGAAAGATAACCAACTATTCAGTCCAGCAATATCCACAATCCTATAACCAACTATTCACACACACATGTATATATGAATACATGCATAGTTTCATACATCTATACAAAAATATGCAAGCCCTTGGAGATAGGAGATCAGATGCCTCTGTTTATGGACAACTGTAACTTTTATTAATACTGAAAAGAATCGGTATGTACAGTATGCCAAAGCATCTCTGTTACAAATAGGCCGGTTTCAGCCACCTAACCCAAATTTGGGTTTTACATTCATTTTACTAAACCCCAAAACAACTACTTCCTATTTACTCCTTGTTTGTCTAGGGTATCTGCCAAGCCGTTTGCTGATCTCTGCACCCAAGTAAAAATGGCACTTATCTCCTTCCAGTTATGTGCAAAATGTATTAGAATGAATCTTCGCCTAGGTTCAACATTTGGTCCTTATTCATTTACACTAGTCATGGATAAATTAATCGATAAAACTAGATATAAATTAAATACAAAATTAGGTTAATGGACAACAGCATTAGAAACAAGAGGTTTTAAAAATATGCAGGACTAAAACAGAATATATGCAATGTATATTTAATAATTACAAGATGCAATACTCTTAGGCCCCATTCGTTTTTTTGATAAGTCATTTACCTGGGTAAATGCACTTACCCAGGTAAGTGCAACATTTACCTGGGTAAATGCACTGCCCAGGTAAGTGCAACATTTACCCGGGTAAGTGCATTAACCCGTGTTCCTTTGATCATAAGTGTTTCCCAGGTACAATAAGCAGGACTAAAACAGAATATATGCAATGTAAGTTTAATGATTACAAGATGCAATACTCTTAGGCCCCATTCGTTTTTTTTTTTTTTTTGATAAGTCATTTACCCAGATAAATGCACTTACCCAGGTAAGTGCATATTTACCTGGGTAAGTGCATTAAACCGTTTCTTTTGATCATAAGTGTTTCCCAGGTAAGTTAAACAATTGGCCATTTTTACCCATAATGTTTGACAACTTTCCTCCCAAGAGGGTAAGTTACCTACCCACCGGAAGATGAGTATCATTAAGTGATACCCATGGGAAAAGCAATTTACCATGGGACCCACAGTTACCCAAAAACGAACATGGACACTCCCCCCCCCCCCCCACATTTACCCAAAAATGAACAGGGCCTCAGGATTAGAGACCAAGAGATAACTCAATGTGACCTCCCCCTTTACCTTGGTTCAATAATTCATAACAAAGGAGAGACTGAGGACAATGTTGCAATAGAATTAGAGTGGGATAGTCAAAATGGAGGGTTCACCCAAAGTCTTATGTGATAGGCAAATACCACTTTGACTAAAGAGAAAATTCTATAAAACAGTTGTAAGGCAGCTACATTGTATGGAGCAGAGTGTTAAGCAGTTTAGAAACAGCATGTCCAAAAAGTGAGTGTGGCAGTAATGTGAACGCTTAGATGTGGATGAATTGTAAGGACAGGGCTAGAAATGAAGTCAATAGAAGGAATGTAGGAGCTCCAATAGATGATAAAATGAGAGAAAGTAGATTGATATGGTTTGGTCACATGCATAGAAAAGCATCTACAGCACCTATTAGAAAAAGAGATATGTTACAAGTTGAAGGGGCTAGAAGAGCTAGGGGCAGACCAGAAAGGACTTGGTGGAAGCAATAAGAAATAATTTAAGTGCCCACAATTTAACAATGGATATGGTACTGAACAGAATGGGATGGTGAAACTAGATCAAGGCATACATCCAAAGTAGTTAAAACATATTGCTTAAGACTTAGAAAAAGTCAGGGTTGACAGGGAAAGGATGGATAGCAAATCCTCACTTTTATTGCAAAGCCTTTGTAGCTTAAAGCTTGTAAAGCTTTCCCGTGGAGGCATGGATTCATGGTTTTTTTATCGGTATGCAAACTAAGTAATGGATCCAAACCACATTCTAAATAAATTGGTGAACATGAAAAGGTAAAGCGAATATTGACACCATTGAAAGACAGATAAAGGCAGGACATGGTAAAAAGATGCAGATTATTAGACAACAGATATAAGTAGGCTAACCTCATCTAATTTCTTTTGCAGATTATCAAGCAATCGCTTCATTTTCTCTGTATTTTCCGTAAGTAATGCCTTCCTTTTCTCCTTCCATGCAGTAAGCAGCATAGGTCTCAAATAGTTTGCCAAGGGTCTAAGAAATGTATATGGATCATCCACAACTATCAAATCAAACCATGTCAATTGTCAAAAATAGGATCTCAAGCAAAAATTCAACCAAGAGAACTAAATATACTCATTGTACAACAGACCTTGTCCTTCAAGATCTGGGCAAAGCATCAAGATTCTTTGCACTATCCATTCTTCAGAAGGAATAAGGTTGTCCTCCTTCATTTTATCCAAATCCTTTTTCGCACTCAATTTTGCCTCTTGCACTTGTGAAGAACTTGATTCCTTGTTTTTCCGCTGGTTTTTCTTCGCTTTTGTTGAAAGATTTTCCTGGTTATCAGGACTACTTTCAGCTGTCCCAATCCTTGTATTACCTGTTGGTTTTCCTTTCTTCTTCTTTGATCCTTTCTCAGATGCATTTTTATTACTTCCCTCATTACCGGTTTCATTCAACTCACTGAACTGACCAGAATCATGTCCAACTTTAGCTTTGCTGACCAAGTTTAAATCTTCATTTAGCCCTTGACCAGGTCTTGAATAATTGAAGGCTTCTATCTCTTTTTCCATTCGATCAAACACATCCTAGCCAAATAAAGAGACACAAAGTTACTGCAAGCATTAGAGTTTTAAAGAAAAGAAAATAGTAATAAATAAACAGCATCAACATAAACTTTTGGAGGTGCCACTTTTGTAACTGAATATAGTAATAAAGGAAAGGTGCATTTTACAGTATGCACCTCACCTAGGTCCTAGGTGCAGGACCTTCAAAAAGGCATGCACCTGGTGCACCTTGCGCTTCAGCCCAGGCGTGTATGCCTTTTTAATTTTTTGCTCCTTTTGCTCTTTTTTGAACCTAACGGCTGGGCCAGGGGCTTTGCCCCTGGACCCCTGACCAAGCTCCTTGAGGCAAGCCCAAACAAATTCATGTTAGGGTCTTAAATTCTTAATCCTTACGCAAAAATAAAAGATTTTATAATATTAATTGTCTGTTAAAAAGATATTTTACTAGGTTGAATGAATGAACAACATTAGCAAATAGAAAGATAAGATTAAAAAAATTGCATTCATGTGAAACTTGAGGCAACACCAATAATGACAAAACTTAATCAATTTTTTTTTTTAATTTTAACATTCCATTCTATTTCTTTGGTAATCAGAATGAAATATATAAAGACCTATTGTTTCTGTTGAAACAGAGAAAATAGGGGAAAAAAAGAAAGGAAAGCAATCAACAAACTTTTGTTTCAACATACAATACGGCCCTAGATAAATTAAATTGTGGAAATGAGATTCATTTAGCAAACCCCAATAGATAACAAGGCTTTTCCATATAGAGATAGTACGAAATTATGGATCATACATTAATAGAATTAATAATAGCATTTTTAGTCCAGAATAATACTGATAGAAAAGGTCAACAGGCCAAATCAATCAAAAGGGATATAGCTTGCATTTCATTGTGGTTCAAATAATATCATGGAAAGAGTCGAAAGACAATTTTAAAACATTAGACAATTTGGAATATAAATAAGATGTAAGCACAAAGAGGACAAGAGGCAAAAAAGTTGACAGACACCGCTATACATTTAGTGTTTGTTTCTAGTAATATTGAAAAGCATTAGAATATCTGTTATATAGGTGGTGTCATAATATTTTTAAAGTGCCACTAAACCAAGCATAACAAGTATCACCATTTCCACCCCTGCAATTTATACATTACCGCTAGAAAAATTCTACAACACTCCAATACCCCATTAAACAGTTCAATTTCACCTCTTCAAAATAATATCTACAATATATCATTTTTTCAAGGTAAAGTATATTGTATTAAAACAAAAAAGAGATTGCAATACTTGGATCGTGGAGATCCTTAAAAAAACACTTCCACTCTCTTCATTGAATATAATGTTAGCATTGGAGATCATGTGAAGTGGAAACATCTTTGATGGAGTAAGAGATTGTAATACTTGGATCGTATCTTTTACCTTTGCTTGCGTGTAGGCTAGCTTTATCACTAATGGTTAAACTTGTAAAACTATTTCCTTATCTCAATTGAATCCTTTAGACTCCTACATTTGGTAAGATCTTACTTCTTAGAGACTATAAGCTGGATATAAAGAACAAGGCTTTTGTGCCAGGGATAGATCTCCTAGGTGGGACCTAATTAATACCTTAACAGGCACAATGTATACTGCCATGTGATTGGTAGTATCATTTTATCCTTCATAAAAGTTACAATCTTCTTTTCACCTTAAATCTTGGATGCCATTTATACCCAATTGGAACACTATTATGCCACCTTAAACCAAAGCCAAAAGAAAGGGATCTTCAAAACAATGAATTTCAGAATGGAAAACAAATCCAAGATGTCTATCTGGAAGTTACAAATTGTTTCCTACCACCAATGCAATCCTACCAACGACATGCAAGAGGTACAACAATGCCTAAAAAACATTCAGATGCACCTCAACTCAGAAATGCCTTTACCCAAGCCCAATTATATGGGGTAAGCTTCAGATACACCTTTTTTATCAATAACTTTGAAAAATTTTATTGATTAAAATGCTTTAGGATACAACAAGAAGTTGCAAAAGAAATCAGCATAGTAAGCTGACCCAGTACAGAATTACAAATGTGCCCAAAACATATATGTTCTTTGAACCCCTTGCTTTGCTAAGCTATCTGCCAAACTGTTGGCAGATCTCCTTACCCATCCCACCTGAATTGAGTCAGCTTCAGATACACCTAATAGCCTAGCTAGATAACTCTTGACAATGCTGGAATGAAAGCACACAAGCAATAAATGGTTTACAAAGAAAGCAACTCATTAAGAAGCATTTTCCTATAGCAGCACATCATAGAGCTTTACCTTTATGAACGCATTGCTAAATAGACAGGACTCCCCAAAGATATGTGCCTTTGCAGACTGAAAAGTAACATATTAGTGATCATTACTTTAACTCGAATGCATGTGCGGTTAATGGTGACAGTAAAACAGAATACTACCTTAAGAGCCCTCTGAACAGATGGACAAAGTGATAAAAGTTTAGATGCATCTTGTGATCCAAAAGATGGAGGTAAAATTGAAAGAGAATCAATCCTGCAATTATTCAGAAATTATATTAGAAAAAAAAAAATCAATTCCAATGCTTCATTTAAATAGCATAGAAAAGAAGGGGGAGACCATCCAAAGTTACATCTCAGTTTTGCACCCTTATTTAATTAATATAATAAGGGGCAATTACATGGTGTAATGGTAAAATCTCAGGCTGGCAAGCGTGAGAACGTGGGTTCGAGTTTGAGAGTGGCCACTTGGTGCAAAAAATGCCAAAGGTTAGGACCGTTTCCAATCTACCCCTCCCAAGACCCCATATAGCTGGGATCAACATTGGGTAATGGCCATATATCAAAAATATTGGGTAATGGCCTTTTTATTTAATTAATACTAATATAGTTGAATATTAGACTGGAGGTAGGAGATTTGCAATTTGGGATTGCCTGGATGAGGAGAGGAAATACTCCCTGGATATAGGCAAAACATTAGGAAAGCAATGCCTTTCATCCCATCCAATGAATACCTCATTCAAATGGGTTACAATAACAGCAAAGTCCGTAGCTGGCTTTCTTTCTAGAGAAGGGATAGGCAGAACTGTATTGGAGGCCAGCAGTAGGCTAGGCCTAGGTTTGGAAAGATTATGGGTTGTGGAACTAAGGGCTCCATTGCTACAATGGGTTCTGATCTTAGTAAAGTGCTACTATATACATTATAATAAATGATAAAAAATATTAATATAGTAGAATAGTTTTCTGCAAATTAAAAATCAAATACATGTCACTTTTGATGTGGGATCTGAAGCAATGAAAGTTTGAACTATAGATCAATCACTTAATAGCAACCCAAAGCCAACTTATGGATTAAATTTGCAGTGTCAGAACTTGTCCTTTCTGTGTGATCATGTTGCATTAGAAAGGTTATTCAATTAACTAACAAACCCAATATTGCACAAAATGAATTGAGTAATTGAGTAGGCCTTTGACATTTTTTTATCAGTAGACATGTATTTTATTTTAAAGTTAAGAATGAAACAAGTTTGTACAACTTGGTGGTGGGAACGTTATTCCCAGTTTAGAACACTTTTCTGTCCCAAATTACAACACAGCCCAAAATAATTGCTGCCTCAGTTCCCCTTCTAGGTCTTTGACATTCCTCAAATTAAAGTACTTTCTTTTTAGAACTTTTGTTTCTAGGGAAGGTTTTAGAAGTGGTTTTACTTTTCAAATGCCAGGATAATAACTATGAGTTAACCCTACTGAGAAACCAGTTTTTTTTCCTTGGAGAAAACTACAAATAGAGTTTTCTTACCATAGATTTTTTTATTAGTCGCTTTCAATTTGTATTACATAAGATAAAAGAATGAGATTATACACTGGAGAAGATGTGCCAAGCACCCAACAAAGAAGTTTAGGCTAGCTTTTGCTACATCCTACATCATCATCATTTAAGCCTTGTCACAACTATATGGAATTGGCTACATGAATCATGTTCTACCATTCCATACAATCAGGTTTCCCAACTTATAATCCATTAATCCTCCAATACAACTGGTTCCTGGTCACACCCAGTCATGCTAATGCATCAGCAATTATTTTTGCTTATCTTTGGGTCCATACAAAGGATGACCTCAATTGTCTAACCAGGCATCTGACTTCAATGAATTTGTATGCCCAAGTTTGGCACTTTTTTTGGAGCCATCCAATAACTACCCAGGAGTTCCAAAGTGTTTACCAAGCCTTAATCCTTGGAGTACAGCTAGTACTTCACTTGTTGAGTCCCCTTGGCTAATTATTAAAATTATTTGAGATGTTTGAGAGTAAATAACCAGGTTTGCAGATGATTGGTAGGGAGGAGGTGGTGGTCACACACTTACAATTTGCAGATGACATCATCTTGTTTTGTGACRKGRAGGAAGGGGAATTAYGRAACTTAAAGAGTCTAGTGCTTCAATTTGAAAGGAAGTCCAATCTTAAAGTGAATTGGGGAAAAAGTTGTGTGGCAGGGCTCAATCTAGGCGGAGAGGAGGTGGATTCCCTAGCTAGGATTTTGGGGTGTGAAGTGGGGGGCTGGCCTTTGCAATATTTGGGCCTACCACTAGGAGAGAACCCAATGGTTGAGAGTTTTTGGTACCCTGTAATTGAAAGATTCTCCAAGAGGTTAGCAAATTGGAAGAGGAATTACATCTCTTTAGGGGGTAGAATAACCTTAATCAAGTCAACCTTAGCCAACCTGCCAGTTTATTTCCTGTCTACCTTTAGAGTACCAATGAAAGTAGCTAACCAGTTAGAGAAGATAATGAGGGATTTCTTGTGGGAACCAGGGGATACTAAGAAAGATCACTTAGTGAAGTGGGAGRTGGTTTCTAGGAGTAGGGATGATGGAGGCCTTGGGTTAGGAAATATAAGATTAAGAAACATGGCTTTGCTGGGGAAATGGATTTGGAGACTACCGATGGAACGGGGCAGACTTTGGTCTAGAGTGATTGTTAGTATTCATGGATTGGCAGATAACGGCTGGGATGCAGGACTCGACCCTGGGGCTTCTCAGTGTTCTCCTTGGAAAGCTATTCAAGGTATTTTGCCTCTTATGCTTCCTTATTTCAAATATGATGCCTGCGTTGGAAATAAAGTCTTGTTTTGGGAAGATGTTTGAGTTGGTGAAAACTCCCTTAGAGATAGATTTCCTTCTATTTACTCCTTGTCTGAAAACAAGAGAAAAGTGATCTCTTTAGTGTTTGTTGATAACTCCTGGGATTTGGGCTTGAGAAGCGGTCTAAGGGATTCTGAAATGGAGATGGTTGATGATTTGATCACTCAGTTAGGGGAAGTCTTTCTTGATCAGTCCTGTAGAGATAGCAGAATTTGGAAACCTTCCCC